GAGACTGCAGGATTTCCTGACATATTCAAGTGGAGTGTGAAAGAAAAAAGAAATCAAGGATGACTAAGGGTTCTGAACTGAGTGACAAAAAGTTGCCCTTAATTGGGATGGGGGACTGAGGTGGGTGAGCAGAGGTCTGCATGGGAGGATAGACATTCTGTTTGGGACATGCTAAGTTTAAGACATCTATTTGTGAAGCGAACTGAATGTGCAGAGTGCAGGAGATGCAGGGGAAGGTTGTTGCTGGAGGCAAGTATCGTACTGTCAAGAGCGTGGGTTTTAGAGTCAGACAGGTTTGTGTTCAAATCTCAGTCCTGTTACTTACTGGCTGTGTTAGCCTGGAAAGGTGTGTTAACTTCTCTGAGTCTTGTTATTTAATAAGTATTTTTTCAGCACCTCCATGTGTCAGGCACTGTTCCAGGTGCTGGGAACACAGGAATAAAGTCTCTGTTCCCGTGGAGTCTACACTCTGTGAAACAAGGACAATAGTAAATGAGCACTTATTGAATGAATAAAGTGTGTAAATTGCCTCAAGAACTCAATATAGTGCTTTGCCCAGTAAATAGTTGATTATAGCAACCTTTCCCTGCTTTCTACCCATTGGAGGACAAATTGTGTCACATGTTGGACTGACCAATAAGAGACGAGAGGACATTCTGAGTGGCAGCCTTCCTGTTCTATAGAAAATATAGAACTGACTCCCTAAAAATAGAAGGTGGTCCCAAGAATATAGCCTACAATTTTTCTTCTTTGTCTTTATTCCAGAGCCCAGATACTAAAGCTAGCACGATGACTTTGCAGCAATGACAAAATCTGATGATGATGGAGATGGTGCATGGATAGTCTAACAAGCAAATAGCTGGGACAGTATCTTAACATGTGATTTGTTCCTGTTATCAAAAACATCCTCTTAGTTAAAAGCATTACATTTCCTCTTAAGTGATAGATGTCTGGGATTTCTTCTTTTACTCTAAGCTGACTCTTTGAGATGAAAAGGAAACCAAAGTGCGGAGATCTCCAAGGGCAGGAAGAGGCCCTGGGATGGATTCTGAGGTTCTTGAACATTCTAAGGGTGGTAGAGGAAAAAGAGGCTGCCAAGGACCCTGAGGCACCACAGCTCTCATGACGGGCGAGGGTCAGGGTGGGGTGAGGTGGGAACTTGGCAAGAGGAGCTGGGTAGGAACGGGTGGCACCGTCCAATGCTGCAGAGGGGACGAGGTGGTGGCAGGCAGGGAGGAAGGCACCTGCATTAGCAGCCACATGTTGCTTCCTTTGGTGGCCCTGGTCATGTCCAGGGAACAGTGGACTGGGAAATAGAGGGAGGATAAGGAGGAAGAGATAATGGGCAGGGAAATCTTTCAAGATATCTGGGTGAAAAGCAAGAGATAGGGCAAGGATAATCGAGACGAGAGAAATGTGCAGTTGAGAGAGACATTTTTAAAGGAAAAAGTGGTTAACACTGTTCTAGTTGACAGATCTTTCTTCACAGGCAAAACTAACAAACAACTCTGGCTCATGAGCAAGAAAAGGAATGTTTTGGAAAAAGCCCATGTAGCCTGCCACAGAGGCCTTCAGTCTAGAATTCTTCCCAAAGTGTACACTGCCTCGGATAGCTTTAATAAAGGAATCTAGTTCTAGATCAATATAGTCCTAAAATTGATCTGCCTGATCATCCTGCCCGTGCATTAGGGAGTAGAATGGATATAGGATCCCACGGAGAAAAGGGAGCAGAGTAAAAATTTTAAATTGCTTGTTCTCATGTGCTTTAAATGGGCAATGGTAAGTATCAAAGGGTGATTGTATTAATTTTTTACTGGATATATTTTTAAAAGTAATGTTGCAGTTTGGTTTTAAAATGCAGATATATACAGTCAGCTGGAAATATTACTGTCTTGCAACTATTTAAGCTTTTGATTAAAAACTTTAGGAGGGCAACTTCAAAATGTGTAAGGGAGTCTTTAGTTTTGGATATTATTTTAGAGGTACATGAGCAAAAATGTTTGACGGCCATTCACTTAAGGAATCAGTCCAAGGAAAGGCTGGACAGTGTCGGAAAGGAAGGAAGGCATAGGGCGCCTCAACTGCCAGGCTTCACAGACTCCACCGGCAACACTATCAACATCATACACTTCCAACCCCCTTAAATGCCTGTCTTTTAGCTCAAGCGCCTAATTCCCAGAGAAGAGGGCCTGGGTGGGCTGGCTTGAGTTGTGCTTACTGCTTGGAAGGGGATGAGAACACCAGACTGAAGGTTGTGCCAGGATCACCCAAAGGAAATGCACAGTATGATTATCGAAAAAAGGGGGCTGTGAGCTGACCTGAAAATCACAGCAATGACCTTCTGCAAACATGTTCAAGGGGAAGCTGCAGAGGAGTGAAAAAATAGATGGCCTGGGGGGGCGGTCCCACAACAGGATTCTGAGCACAAGTAGAATGATTAGGAGGGACACCTCTTTTGCTGTGGCAGGAGCAAGGAGGAAGGACTAGACGAGGAAGGATCCTGGGGAGTTTGCAAGTGGCTGAAAGATCACAGAGGAGGCCCAGTGGATGGTTTCCACTTTCCCCACTAACTGTGGGAAAGGACTCACGCAGGGTAAAGGGCAGGTGAACCAGGAGTTTGGGGGCGCAGATGAGATTTCTCCATTATTTTCTTGTACTTTGCAAGACTTTGTGTCTTTAACAGTCTAATGCTCTTAGCACATGGCACACAGTGCAAATCCATGAAACTACCTCTTGTGGCCTTTTCTCTCCCCAGACTGAGTCAATTTTCCCTCTGGCTCCCACAGCCCTTTGTACAGGTCTCTCTTATGGCTGTAAACATCATTACCCACGTTTTGGGGAAAGTCCATCGAGGATGAATGGAGATAGTGGTAAATTCCCATCAGATTAGTCTCAACTGCTGTGGCTCCCACACGAGTACCACAGGGTCCCTTCAAGCTCAACCCCAGCTTGATTAGGATCTTTGGGTGAGGGCCAGCCCGTGGCTCACTTGGGTGAGCGTGGTGCTGACAACACCAAGTCAAGGGTTAAGATCCCCTTACCGGTCATCTTTAAAAAAAAAAAAAGGGATCTTTGGGTTTTATTAAAGGGTATAGGAGGTGACAGCTAAATTCCCTTTCCAGAGTGTTTTTCTCTGAGGTACTGCTGGACGGGCACTGAATGAGGAATTGAAATGATCACACACACACACACACACACACACACACTCACACACACACATGCTCAAAGTCCTGGGAAATGCTGTGTGCATAATTTGCTCTGAGAGGGTGTTCTTGGCCAAGAATAAAGTCATGATTCGAAGGGCTCCATAATGAGTTGGGTAGTCAAAGTATGACAACCTGCTTCTCTTTTCCTCCTTTCCCTAATCATATGTATATGGTCTTTATAACTTTTAAGTGAATGCAACATGGGTATCCACGTATGTGAAGAGAGGTTAGAACAAACACCAAGAATCCGGTCAAAGTTTCCTAGGAATCATAAGAAAAAAGTATCTTCTTTAAATGAACTATTGAATCCTAGGAATCAGCCTGGGATAAATAAGATTTGAGGTGTATGGTTAGTTCTTTAAAATAATGCAGCTGCTCAGATGAACTTCCACCTAGGAATACATGAAATATCTCCATTTGCAAAACGGATTGGAGGAGTGGGAAGCAAGACAGTGCTTCCTATCATAGCAGTTTTCTTTAATGAAATCCACCGGTGGGTTTTAAACATTCTATCAAAATTTAAAATATGCATAACTAACACAGTGATTCCACTTGCAAAGTGAGAGGTATAAAGATATTCCTAACAGCTTTTTTTTTATAATAGCAAAAGGCTATACTTTCATAGAGTACCGATTAGTTAAATGACCTGCATAACAGAATACTATGGTGCCTTTAAGAGAATAGAGGGGTGTTGACATGGAAAGATTTCCAAGATAAATTAGTTTAAAAGCAGGGTGAGGTGTGACAAATATGCTATCATTTCTGTGTGGAAATATACATATGCAATTATATTTCTGTGTAATATACATATGCATTTTCTGTGAAATATACATATGCAATTATATTTGTGAATACATAGAGTATTTCTGAAGACAGGCCAATGCTGGTTACAACAGTTGCCTGCAGTGAATGAGGTGGCTGGGGAGAAAGGAGAAGGTAATTTTTTTTTGTTTTGTCTCAAGTGCATATAGATTACCTACTCAAAAATATTTTATTACAAACACTCTGCTACCCCAATAAAAACATGTCTTTGTATCAGTTCTGGTACATCAACATCAAAAAGCAATTTGTCAAATTGATTAATTCCTAGAATATCCAGACCTAGATTTTTTTCTCTCTCAATGGAAGATGTGGGTTCTGTTACCACTTAACTGTGTAATGCTGGCCAAGTCAGCCACCTAAGTGCTTGATTCTTCATTTGAAAATGATAAGCTTAGGCTAGAGATGACTTCTAAAAATCTCTTTCTGGTCTAAAATGTTGTGATTATTATTATTATGTAATGTGTATAATTATTATATAATTATAATTTTATTATACATTATTATAATTATTATATAATGGGTATAATTGTTATTATTATACAATGTGATCTAAAATGCTGTGACTATAATTATTGTATAATTATTATATTATGTATAACTTGATTACGCATCTTTTAAAAAGTGCAATAGGGCCGGCCTGGTGGCTCACTCGGGAGAGTGTGGTGCTGGTAGCGCCGAGGCCGCGGGTTCAGATCCTATATGGGGATGGCGGGTGCGCTCACTGGCTGAGCGTGGTGCGGTTCGCACCATGTGGAGGGTTGCGATCCCCTTTCTGGACAAAAAAGAAAAAAGTGCAATAAACTGACAAAGAGAATCTGCCTGCATGTCAGATAGTGAGTTTTGGTGATATGGCAGAAATAATCATATACAGCTACTCTTTTCAGAATATATTTCATTCTTTAACCACACTTTACAATTCCCTTTCATTTCTACTCCAATCATCTATGAAATACCCAAGGAACAACAAAAGAGGCATATTCAACTGAAGAAATTTATTTTACTTTTTTTTTCTAGGTACATAGATGACATAATTATAGACAAGTTTTGATACATAGGAAAACCCTTCTGTCAACCTTTCTTTTTGCTAAATGAATCATCACAATAATTTTTACAATTTTTAAAACAATACACAGCTTTCTTGGGCTGAAGCAATTGCAAGAACATATTGGTACTGGTATATTACAGCTACTTACAATGTTTAAGAACAGCAATGGAGAAAAATAAGTTATTTAAATATTGATTTCATATACAGAAAGTGCAATGTTGTTAGTTGTTATATAACTTGCTTGACAGTTTGTTTTCTCTCTCAATTTAAAATCAAAATAACTTGGACTCAGACTATTATATTTTTTTCTGAAAATAATACAGTACAAACATGCAGCAGTGACTTGGCTAACTGACCTCTTTTGCTGCAGCTATGAAAACAAACCTTGCTATGTCAGGAACTGATTTCCAATAGACTAGTAATTTCCAATTTCACCCACAGCCAGGATTAGGACAGAGAAAAGGGCCTTTGACTAAGGCAAGACCATGAAAAGATATCTGCTTCTTGGTTATCTGGGAATGTAAATAGCAGTAGGAGCTGGCTGCATTAACAGCTTTGAAGTAAAAATTACACACAGTGTTATTTGTAGCTACCTGAGCCGAACTGCCTTTCCAGGTTTCTTTTGTGCTTTCCAAAGACAACAATTTTCACCCTTATTCAAAATTCTGTACCAAATGCAACTGGTCAAAATGGGACATCGCTGAAGCCTTCCACCTGTCTACAAATGTCCACAGGCGGCCCCAAACCACTTCAGTCAAATGTCACACACACACATTCAGGCTTTTCTCAGACCAAATTAAAAGTTTAAAGCAAAAGAAGACCAAACAAACAGTAAAGATTTTTTTTTTAATGTCAAAAACAACACAGAAAACTAAAAACAACTCAGACCCCTTTGATTAGACAGACGGTCCCGCTGAAAATTATTTGTGGTCCCTGAATTTGATTTTCTATGCGAAGGCAATGATTTCCAAAGGAGAGTAATAAAAATACGGTTTGGCATTCTCAAAAACACCAATTCAGAAAGTTACCTTTTCTGGTGCTACTTTTACTTAAATGAAAAACATACTGAGAATGAACTAAAACTTGGAAATTCACATGAGATTTCTTCTCCTTTGTTACCTCTTACATGACCTGCGTGGCCTTTTTGCTCATCTTAAATGATAAGCAGGATCTGTCAGAATGTCAAGGCGAGGTATTTCGAAAGCAGGAAGAGAAGGGTTTTTCTGTGCCCATCTCCACCCCAGCACACGAGACACGCTTGAGTGCCACAGCATTAGGAGAGCCCCGTGGCCTCACTACATTCCCAATGGCTGTGCCACAACCCCAGAGGGCAAAAATGAGCTGCTTATAAGAGTTCTATAAAGACTTGGCAACTTTACCTTTCTAATTCTTCATTTCTGCAACTTCTTCACATGGCATCGAAGAAACATACCTTATTTTTAAAAATGTATACCTAAGCATGAAAAAAACACATCACCTGAAAATGTCCTTTTCAGATTCAGATTCAGATGTATAAAGCACATGCTAAAGACAGCTTTGTAATGAATGAAGTCACTTTTCTCCCCCAAGGGAAATCATTTGTTTTAATTAGTAGAGGAAATATCACAGAACTTTTGATCAAAGCCTGGTGTTCAAAGTGTTTCTATGATAAATGATCACATTGGATGCTTAAAATAGTGCTCATGATAAGAACGTATGGGAAAATCATTTTGTCAACAATGAAACCTTAATAGCTTAGTTGTCTAAACTCGCTGTTTGCTAAAAAATCAGCCACTAGATTAAAAGAGGAAAGAATGTGCTGAAATCAGATGGAAAACAATTGAAAATAAGCAAATACGTAATACATGGCTAATGTAGTTTGTCTGGCTCCATAGTGAACCTTTGTTGCAACTGAAAGAATATCTAACTAAGAAAAGAAGGATAAGAGTATCTTAATTATAAAACTGAAAAAACTTTAAAAACATAAGCTACTTCCCTTTTTAAAAACATCTTTCTGAAATATTCCACCATCACAATGACTTTCTGCAAAGGTGATCCATTAGCTGACGACTGAATTTTGGAATGGACGCGGTCAGAATTCCAAGTCAATACTGCAGCACAGCGACCAACATGGTAGTGATACTAAACTGATTAAAATGAAAGGCAGTTGCAACACACACACACACACACACACACACAGAGTATCTTCTTGAATTTCACACAGCTTTTTACTGGATTTGTAGTTAGTTTAAAAACTGAAATGCGTGCCTGATAAACACCCCTACAAAACAAGCCATGTTAGAATGAGACAATTAGAAAAGCCCATTTTTGCTGAAAACATCCCAGATATATTAGATGGCAGTCTAAGCTGAAGATGTGAAACTATGGTTACAGGGTTGTGGACACTAGTTAGATAACTGCTTAAAAGCTTATATTAAGGCAAATAAAAGCTGATTGCAAGAAAGCAATTATTAAACATCTCTTGTTTATCTAAAGGAGAATAGGATTTTTTTTTTTTTTCCTGGTGCAGCCCGATGTTCTAACTTCTGAACAAATGAGCATGGTCAATAGTGTACAATAACTCCCGAGTCTGTGACTTTGGCCTAGCTAAGCCTGTCTGGCCCTGGGGCATCTTGCAGGGTGACAGACAGAAGGGCAAGGGCACTATCAGAAATGCAAGTCTTCCCTGCCCTCTTCCCCCGGGCTCACTGCCAGTGCACAAAGACAGACTGGAGGCACAGCATTCGTAGTCAGTTGGCATCTTGGTTCTTTTGTGTTCTGAAAATAAAAACAAGTGCTTGTCTTTTCTTTGGGGGTCAAAGAGAATTGCACCAGTTTCCTTGAGGGAGCTGGCTTTTCTGGAGGAGTGAGTCCTAGTCCTGTGCCAAGGTTTTGTGCACTGTTCGGCCACAGGCTGGGCCTTTCTTCTGGATCTGGTCTGCATGTCCAGAGTTAGAGGAATTGCATCAGCATCATGAGCACAGTGAAAGGGTGGCTCTTTGTCCAGGGAGGTCCTCTACAGGCCTGGCTACATGGCCTCGGGGCCTGGCGGCAGTTTGAAGAGTCTGGCTGCTGACACGAGCTTTCTTATGTGTCTCTCCTCTGTGATGCCGGCCTCCTGAAGGCAAGTGTGGGACAGAGAAGGCACTTGGCTCAGTGTGCTGACCCCTGCTGCAGAGAGAGTGCTGGTGTACATGGGCAGACCGATGGAAATGAGCCAATCTGACACAGATGAAATGCACCCAGGAGACAGGGGCTTTCTACAGATTTCCGTGAGTCCACCACTTGGGATCTGGATAAATGAAGAAAGCAATATTATAAACACTGTACAGCAAGATTAGCAGAAAGAATTCTCCTGAAAGATCAAACTAAGCTTCAAGGAAGTGCTCTAGAAGGTTCTGGAAGGTATTTGGAATTAGATCAATCTCCGGTTACGTGTCCAAGTCTCCAAACTGTAAGCATTTATATATCCTGCTATTTTGTCTCACTGTGATGGGCTCTTCAGTGACAGATTCCTAAGTTGATTTGAAGAGAGAAGCTTGTGTGACAGTGTGAACAGTGACACTTAATGGGTAGGGTTTTTAATAAGCAGATTTTCCACTGTACTTTGAATCTATATTAACTACTAGAAAATTAATATTTAATAGTTATAATACAATAATGTCAAGCATTGGCTAGGACAGGGAAATGGACATTTAAAGTTGACTACTGGGGATATAAAGGGCTACACCTTTCAGAAAAGGCGATTTGCTAACAAGTGTGAAAATCTTGAATTTTGTACAGACCTGATGAAGCAAACCCTCTTTGGAAAATGTATCCTCAAGAATTAACCTTCTAAGTCTACATAGATTTATTAACAAGAATGTGTTTTACTACACTATTTAAAATAAAAAGTTGGAAACAACCTAAATGTTTCAACAATATGGGATTGGCTAAACTACAGTACATTCACCTACTCAAACACTTTGAAATATTGATAATGTAAAAGCATTTTTAGTAATAGAGAAAGACTCATAATCTGATAACTGAAAACAATCATGTTTCAAAACTGTACATTCACTATTGCACTTGTGCAGAGAAATGACTGGACAGATTTTTTTACAATAACAAGTAAAAATTGTATTTATTTATGGTGTACCTGATATTTTGATATAGGTACACATTGTGGAACGGCTAAATCAAGCTATTTAACATATGCATGAACTCACACACATTTTTGTGTGTGTGATGAGAACACTTAAAATTTACTCCTTTAGCAATTTTCAAGTATATAATATATTGTCATTAACTGTAGCCACCAAGAACTTATTCCTTCTCAGTGAAATTTTGTATCCTTTATACAACAGATTTTTTAAAGGTTTTTCACAGTGCTGGGATTGCAGATAATTTTTATGTATCTGTTTCTCCAAAACTGTACTTTAAAAAATGCCTAGGCTGACTACGTATCACTTTCTCCCCAGGTGTCCCCTTTTCTATAGCAGTAACAAACCCTTGCCCACTCAGCAGGTGTCAGTCTGACCAACACTAAGCACTATGACCAAACGTATTTCAAAAACCAGGTCGGTGCTCACTGCCATGCGGTGCTGCTTCCGAAGCAGCTTCACCCGGATCTGGTCCATGTTGGTGGCGATGTCCCTCTTGGGCTGATCTAAGTCTTCTGCATATCTCTGTACCAGGGCTTCAGGAATCCCACAGCGGCCATGCTGCGAGGGGAGAACAGAACGCGGCATCAGAGTTGCGAGGAGGTTTTGTTTTTCCCTCTAAGGCACACCAGACATAAGGCAGCATAAGACATTTAGCTACTGGACAGTATCACCAGAAGTTTTCATTTGAAGTGAATATGTTTTCTTTATTGTCAGGATGAAGGCTTTAGAGGTAATAGGAGGGTACCTCAAAAAGTTTGTGGAAAAATAGAATTGAAAGATAATACAAATGTTTTCATCAACTTTTTGTAGTACATTTGTACTTTTACATGCTTATCTTCCAAAGATGTAAAAATACAATGAGCTCTAGGAAAATGTTTTGAAACATAATTAAGGCAGAGCACCATCATCCTATATTTTTGGACCAATGCCTTCTCCCCACTCTACCTGATCATATTACAAAATACAATTCTTCTTATGTTGTTGAAGGGTCTTGTAAACTTCAGGAGAGAAGGACAAACTACTCCACAGATATTCTGCTGTCTGCACTTCATCTACTAAGATTTATACATAAAGCGCATCACTAGGCCAGCATTTACTGTAGAGTAGGCTTCTCACTACTTTCTATTCAAAGAAGTTTACTCATGAAATATCAAGGAGAGAGAAGGAGAGGTGGGGGAGGATCTCACTGTAATGCATTCATAGACTTATAAACAAGGGCTCTCAGGAATGCCTTAAAACAAAACACGCATTTCCAGGAGGAAAATACAGCCGATTAATATCATTGATTTGGCTTCAAAGTCATTTTGGTATTGGTAGATCTACTAATTTTTTTTCAAATGAGAAATGATTTTCATTATAGATCTCAATGTGTTTTTGGCACAAGAGGGGTATTTCATATTATCTTTTTCGCCCCCGTGACCCTTACAGATAATTGTACAATAAAATTATTACATCTCAATAGGGTTCTACCATTTTCAAAATATGTTCACCTGTATTTCATTTGCTCCTAGTAATCCCTCTAAGAGGTCGTTAAACAGGTTATTTTGAATCCCAGTTTACACATAGGGAAATGAAGTGGGCAGATATTACTATCTGAACACATCCTCATTCATTCGAGTAAGACATGGACATGTGAAATCAGGCTCTCCTGTCCACTAAACCATCCCTTACAGGAGCCAGTTCTGGTACTGATTGTTCTCACCGCAAAAGTGCAGCTGCCAAAATGAAAAACGAACAAGCAAAAGCAAAAGCAAAGGAAACTCGAAGGCTGTATCTGCGTTTAATCTGGAGATCATTCTCCCATTTCTCCCAAGGGCAGAAACCACTGGTTGTGGGTCATTCTGCCCTCTCAGAACAGCCCAGGCCACTGGGAAGCCTCTTGGGCAGCTGTGGGCTTCACCGCACCTGACTGCGAGACTTATACAAACAAGGGCCTGTGGACGTGGGGCCAGGGCCTCTGATACCTTATCAGAATAGGGTTCCTCGGTGAGGTCGATGCCTTCGGCATGTAGCTTGTTTTCAGTGAGCATTTCTAGATCGACTCCCCGGGCACAGGAGATCTTCCTGGTCAGAGCTGGGCCCAGCTTCACGCCATGCTCCTGAAGGCTCGTGTTCTCTGGGAGCTCTGAGAGCCAGGGGGGTGGTCTTGTGCTTGCTGGGCTGCCAGGCTCCTGCCCCGTGGGAGGCCTAGGAACCTGTGCTGAGGGACAGTCACTGGGGCTGGTGGGGCTGGTGGGGCTGGCGGGGCTGGCGGGGCTGGCCTTTTTCAGGGGTAGGCATGGAGCATTCGGACTGGGCAGGGTCCCAGCAGGGCCCATAGGCACAGGGTAGAGTCCATTAGCCAGGCGTTCTCTGCTCTTTTTGGCAGGAACAGGTGGAGGCTGTGATGGATTTTTTGGCTGCGTTCTTGGCTCAGGGACCCTCTGCTCAGCATCTACCCCTTCTTTGGTGCCCGGGGGATGGCATGTTCCTTCAAAATCATGTCCTTTCCTGGGACCCTCAAGAGGTGTCCTTGCTAAAGCGTGTTTAGCTCCAGGAGGCCGGGAATCGTGGCTTCTGGGCAAACACTGGGGAGGGGAGAGGCTGTGGCAAGAGGCTGCCATGGAGCCATCCAGTTTCTTAGTAGTCGCTGTCTGAGGTTCAGAAAATCTCTTGCTTTGGGTCAGTAGCAGCACACTGTCAACAGCAGAGTCCTGCTCTGGGGGCTGGGCCTTGGCAGAGGAGGCCGCTGTCTTCTGTGGCACTTCTGGTACAGTCGGAGGGGTGGGTCCTGTCACCTGAGTAGGCACATCTTGCTCAGCACCAGGCTCTCCTTGAAGGTCATCCAGGGAATGGGATCGGGGCCATGATTCCACAGTCTGGGGGGCCTCCAGGGTCTCACAGCTCCGACAGATGGAAACAGGGAGGCTTCGTCGGTTTTTATTGAAACTGGTCACGCAGGGCGGGTCGCAGCACAGGGAGGTGTCGGGGGCGAGGCCACCACCCAGCCTGCGCTCCTCTCCCTGCTTGAGCGCGTCCCCAGACTTCATCAAAGGCAGCGTGGGGTAGTTGCCCAGCTGGCTCCTGCTGAAAGACTTCAAGCTGGACGCGGTTGATGACTTAGCAGATAGGAGGCCAGTCTTCCGAGCCTTGCCTAAAGGGAATATTTTACAGTCACATTTTAAAAGCAAATCAATCAAATTGAGCCATAAAGGTGTGCTAACATAATTGAAATCTCCAACTCCTGTATCCCATTGTTGAATTACACTAAGGACATAAAATCCCCAGTTATGACACTGGGTGACATAGGATTATTATGTTCCCATTTTTATTTTTTAGAAAGAACTCTTAGTCTTATGAAAGGACTTAGGGAGACTGAAATTAACAGGGTTACGCAGAAAAGAAATATGCTGTGTCAGGCGGTAAAATAAATCTAGACTGAATGCCTGTTTCTCGCTGCAATCGGTGTGGAAGAAGGTTAATTGTCTATACCCCGTTTAGAAACCACACTGATAAGATTTCTTTTGGTGAGTACAATTTTCTAAGGCCATAATTGGAAAGGAAAGGTGGACTGAATTCCAGAACAGGCTCTATAAATGGTGCACCCTAAGGGGTGATCAGTGAATACTCAGATCACACCTTCCTTGAAGCTGTTGCCCTCTGATACATTGATCCTAGAGACAACCAACCAACCTTAATACAGACAAATAAACAAACTCAAGTGAGTACTTTGTCAGAGAAAATCTATAAAATACTGGTATTGCTCTAGGTCCCAGAAAAACAACAGCTCTGGTTAAAATAAACTGTCAGACTGATTACTAAACCATCAATCAGACATAAATCTACTTATTTGATGACTGACTGGTATTAACTGCTGCTGCTGCTGCTTTTATCAAACATCAAGAACATACCATCTACAGGCCAGGCACTGTGCTAAATGCTTTGTTCTTATCAATACTTTTAACATACACACACACATGCACGTGCACACACAACACACACACACACACACACACACACACACACACTAATTAACTGTCCTTTGTTATATTTTTGATTTAATAACATGTTTGTTGTATGCTTTGATACTGGGCTGAGATGCCTGAGCGCAACACCCCAGATAATAAAACATACTAAGGTACTTGAAAATGTTCATAGAAAGGTTTGTATTATGTTTTAATTCTATTTTTCCATAAACTTTTTGAAGTACCCTCATATGAGCCAAGTGATCCTATTACTCTAGGCCTGTAGAAAAAGATGACAATCCTAAACCCAGATCAGGTTTGGAGGTACAGAGAAAAGGCCGGCTCTTTATCTATGAAAATCCATTATCTTGTAAGTAAACGTTTTCTTCCTAATCTCTTGTTTCAGAAAATATTTTAAATTAAATATTTTAATATAGAATTTTAGCCTCTCCCCATTATATGATCTTATCCTTTCAATAACTAAGCAGCAAGAATAAATCAGGCAGTGGACCAATTTGACTGGGAGAGGAGAGAAGGGGTAGGCTAGTGCCGACTCAAACAAGCAGAAGGCAACTTTGGGATACATGAAAGACAATCTGATAAAATCTCTATGTGTATGCTGTGTAGATGAGGAAAAAAGAAAAAAAAAAGAAAAGGTCTGGAGCTGTGACATTACAAGTGGTTTGGCTATTAGCAGAGAGAAAGACAGATTCCTTGCATGACTTCACAGCTTATTACCAAGCCCACTCTAATTTCAAACTGATCATATTAAATGTATCATGACAAGCATAATTCCAGACACTAAGACTGACGGATAAGAACAGTGGCCTCCTCAATCTGATTTTTTTATTAATGATCCCATCATTTTTGGTAAGACACTAATCAGTACATCATTTGGTAAAGAAATGGCCAAATGGTATTTTTCCTTTCTTATATAAATAATGTGGGACCTGCATGTTCCACACTGATAAACAGCAACACGCTAGGCATTTGTAGGTTATTATTTTGTTGTTACATGGAGACCATTAACCTAGCTGTTACTACTGAATATACTGACCTTAGTCACATTTTTCATTAATAGAGAATCATCACAGAAAAATGGAAAAGGGAAAAACCTCTTCAGAAAGCATATTACATTAAAGTTTAAAAATAGGTTAAAAGAGAATATTCTTAAAACCCCTTTAGCATAATTTTAGAAATATGGCTTTCCTTCCCTTTAACTTCCAATATAAACTATATGTATAAATTCTATTTTCACATTCTACTTACACTGGAAAGATCCCTGAATTCACTCTGAGTTGAAAGTATGGTTCACTGGCTTAACCTAGTTCTTCAGCAGGCGCACCTGAATTCTTTTGGGCATTAAAAATTCTGCCAGTGATAGCCGTGAAATCCTTGGCAACCCAGTACACTTGGGGGAATTAATTTACTGAAAATTTGTGGACATGGAATGGTTATTAACAGAAAAGAAAAACCTTCAGGACCTCATGAGGACTTTAATGTTTACTGGAACTGAAGAGGTGCCATGATATTAGGTCGGTTTTGCATTCCATCTTGACTGAAGCTATCTGAATATTAGAGTTCGGGGAGAACTATTATCTTCCAAACTGATAGAAAACCTTGAGCGTAAAGGCTCATGGGTCAAATTTTAAGGTCCCCAAGATGCTCATCAGAATCAGGTTTGGGAACGAAGCAAGCCAAGTGCCCAGGGGCACACTCCAAGGACGTGATCACTCTCAGAGTCACGCAAGCATAGGGTTGGTACCTGAGACTGAGCACCCTCTTAGAGTGTGGCCCCCTGGGCACCTGCTCAGCTCATCCTAGTCCTGGTTTTGGTGTCGACAATGGCTCTCAAACTATTTTTTTACCCTGATCCATAGGAAGAAACACATTTTACATTCGTCTTCTAGTACGCACAGGTGCACGTGCTTGGGTCCGTGCGTGTGCATGCACACATACATGCACACACACAAACATAACTGAAACAGATTACAAGTAACAACACTGACAATACTACACCTTGCCTTATGGAATGCACTCTGATATTCTATTTGGTCTTACAAAACTGCTATCCATGACCCCATAAATTGATTTCTCAACCCATTAATGAATTGCGATCTACAGTTTTAAAAAGTTTGCTTTAGTAGGTGATTAATAGATATCTTAACACATGCAGTACTAGATAGGATCCCAAGGCAGCTAGAAACTATCAAACCTGGGCATTTTTTCACAATAGTCTTCACGTGTTCGACAGAGATTTAGGTCACTTTGACAGCGTGAACCCTTTACTACTGTTGCTGATCTTGCTATAATGGGAATTTTGGGATCACAACAGGAAACCACAGAGCGACCCATAACATTTAACCCACCTGACCTCATTCTGCTAAAACTCCTCTTCTGTTTGTGACAAGTGCATTGTCTGAAATTTCATACTGTTAGTGCAGGGAAGCAACAAACAAGACATGTGGCTGTCCAGGCACCCTGTCCTGCCATAATTGCCTCTATACGCAGGATGTACAGCTGAGGCATTTAAGACACTGCTGCTGGTGTGACCCTGATGGATGGTCTACTTGGTAAATTGTTTTCCTTATGGACCTAATAGCTCCCAACACTCCAATGCTGGTTTTTAATGCATAAAGAAAAGGGCATAGGAGACACACAATTTAGGTTTTACAGCTGCAGGTATTTCAGATGGAATTTATCAACCTCACACAGCAGCCAAGAGGAACAGATAGGGAGGCTAACACAGACTCGGACAGTGAAGAGGTCAAAAAGGAGATTAGCAATGGTGATTTACAAAAAGTTTGTAATGGTAATAGAATCGTCCTTTTGGAGAAAATTGTACTTTTGAAATCAGTAACTATCAAAGCAAGTTCCTGATGCTCTGTGCTGACATTACCATTTTCCAGGTTCTCGCTGCTTTCGTAGCATCCTGAGTCTCGTGGGGAGCGTCCACTCAGGCCCTGGCTGTCAACAAGCAGCTTCTCCTGGGATCCTGACTGGTCACTGTTACCTGGAGAAAGTGAACACAACACACGGCATGGGATCACAAGGGGAATGAGAAAGCAGAGGTTCCAAAGTCAACCAGATCCCAATTTTACCCTCAATTATCAGCAGACATTTTTAAGCCTTGGACTATTAGAACAGAACAAGTTACTTTCAAGTAGATAAGATCAAAATGAAGTAGTGAGATCAGATTACTTTTCTTTCAAATAAAGCATCAGGCACATGAAGATCAATTTGGAGAGAGGGTACCAAGTTGAAATATGTTGATGCCTCTTAAGTTACCCAAACAGAGGCTGACTGTGGCTCAAGGCTATGAGGAGAGAGGTGCAGGGTGTCGTGTCAGCAGTGGGGAGGACACTCCCAGTCACTTCTGCGTGGTACCATTGAGAAGCAGAGTGAAGAAATGCTCCCTTCACAAGATGGGATTGGGTGACATGCTTTTCAGAGATCAAGAAGACTTGTGCTTGTTAGCACCTTTCCAAATTCGGGAGCTAATATAAAAGTGTCAAATGAACTATCAAATTGTATTAGCATTTAGGAGCATTTTTGGCCCTAGGTAACCCATGGTGGCTCTTGTACTATCTTGGCAGGAGTAAGATTGGCAAGAAGGGGTACAAACCCCTACGCTGAGGGGCCAGTGACAAATGTTTTATTTTTGTTGTTTGGGATGAGTAGAGGGTTTTCCTTACTTTCTGCCTTCTCCCTTTGTCTGGGGTAAGCATTTCTATTTCCTGCACACAGTGTAAGACAGGGAAATCTCAGGAAACTAACTTAGAAAATGAGTAACAGATCCACTTAAAAGTGGATGGCTGAAAAGTTGAACATCCTCATTCTGAGGAACCCTTCTAAAGAGAAGCATCATTCTTTGTCAATTGCACCTCAATAAATCTGGGGAAAAAAAATCAAGAGAAACATCAGATATTTCTGTTGAGTGAGGCTGCCTAGAGCAAATCACATGGGAAATCATGTAGGCCTTCAGTAGCCCAGCAAAATTGCCCTGCATGTTCTATGAAGAAGATACGTGTGGCCTTACATAGGACATGAAGGTTACATACAGAACAACTTTGTATTATCATGCCGAGTAAGAGCTTGGTCACATAAAACAAAAACCAAGAAAACATTGTGTATATAAAATAGCTAGTTGCTCGGGGGCCGGCCCGGTGGCACACTGCTACAGTGCGCCGCTTGAGAGCGCGGCGGCGCTCCTGCCGAGGGTTCGGATCCCACATACAGACCGGCCGCTCACTGGCTGAGCGAGGTGCAGGAGCAACACCGAGGGTTGCAATCCGTTGCCGGCCACGAAAAAAGACAAAAAGGAAAAAAAAAAATAGCTAGTTGCTCTTCACCTCCCACCACCCACTCCAACCACATACACAAAGAAAACAGAAATCAATAAACCAGAAATATGATGCCCCTTCTCGGGTCATGAGCAAGACTGTGGGCAGACAGAGGGCTGCCATTCTGCATCTGCACTGGCTCTTCCCACTGTCCAGTCCCCACTTCTGGCTTGTATTTCTCCCATGGAAAGCATTTTTTAACACAAATTATGGCAGAGATCACAGCTGAAGAAGCCCTTAAATTAGAACCTCAAATCAAGAGTGCTATTTTTAAAATGATTAATGAAAAACTAACAAATTAGAAGCACAAGAGCAAACACTGCCCCCCTCGCCAAAAAGTGGAACATTCTAGAGTGATGTCCTCATCATGCAGAAGAGCCTGTGGATTTGGAGTGGCCTTTGTTCTAGCCTAGCATGTTATTTAGAAAAATGATACTTATAAAATGAGGGCTTTGAGCTATCTGGTATAACCCAAGAAGAGAAATTGGTGTAGTTTGTTTCTGGTGACAACATCTCAGTGTACCACAGCAACCAAAACACCCCAGAGTGCTGACCCATGGGAATAAAAGAGAAAGCGTGTTCCCTGCTGCTGCAGGGAAATGCATGCTGTGTCTGCATCTTTGGGGGTCCTAGTCTCACCAGACATGGCAGGACACCTGAAGTTTTTATGATGAAGAAAGGGACCTATTCCATCACCAGAAACCACAGTACAATTTATAAAATCATGAGGCATGCGTCAAGGGGCTAGCACCACTGTCTTCATTAGGGAGAAAAAGGGGTAGAAAATTCTCACAGTCAAATAAGAGGGCAGGGCTGGGTTGTGGGACCAAAACCTCACTTGCGCATGACCTGAACTTGGACCCACCCAAACACGCACACACACAGGAAGAATATGCTACGACACTTAGGAGATCTTTAAGCATGAAAAGGTGGTGTGCTAAGGGGCACGCACCATTTCTAGAGCGCAGTTATCTCAGGAAAGAAGCAGGGAAGGGAAAGGGATTTATAGCAGGACTTTCAATGGGCATATAGCATTATTTCTTACAAAAATAAGAATTGAGGCAAATATGGCAAAATGTTAGTTTTAGTTAAATTCAGGATGTGCATATGTATATTTTTCTCTGAACTTTTCTGCATATTTGAAATAATTCCGAATTCTTTTTTTTTTTTCCTTTTTGTCTTTTTTCGTGTCCGGCAACGGATCGCAACCCTCAGTGTTGCCCCCGTACTGGACCGGGACCGGCCACGGGATCGCAACCCTCGGTGTTGCGCCCGCACCTCACTCAGCCAGTGAACGGGAACCGGTCTGTATGTGGGATCCGAACCCTCGGCGGGAGCGCCGCCACACTCCCAAGCGGTGCACTGTAGCAGTGCGCCACCAGGCCGGCCCCCGAATTCTTAATAAAATTATTGTGTATCCTAAAGTAGTATACTTAGAAATGGTTAACATGGTAAACTTCATGTTATGTGTCTTTCACTACAATTAAAAATTTTTTTAAAAAAATTTAAGAGAGTTTTCATTTGGCAGACCTAAGACAGGTAGTTTGGGCTTAGTGTAAGGAAGAGCTATCTGACAATTAAGGTCTTTTCCAAGTGAAACCCTGTATGAAGACTACCATTCCGCATGCATTGGGAGAGGTTGGACAGGTCTGACTTCCAAGGAGAGCAAGAGATGTACTTTTTGGAAGGCTGAACTAGAAAACATTCAAGATCTCTACATGTCATCACTGATCTCGGTAGACCTCTGTATCTCTCTAGTGTACAGAAATTCCATTTGGGGGAAACCTACTGTGTTCCTCTAAGTTATCAGTTACTAGGGGAGCACTTCTTGAACGCAATGAATTCAAGTGCATTCGATGTAAAATCTACTAACCCTAGGATAAGTCTGGACCCAGACTCTTGGCATTAATCGGTACCTCTAAGCCCTTGAAGCTTTTGTTTTAGGACAAAAAGAAGTACTACTTTATGCATCAGGGAAATTCAAAACATTGGTATAGCACAGATCCTAAATGGGATCTATAAAGAAGCAAAAAGGCCTTAGTGGCCTTCCAAGTTAGCATCGTGAGGGATAAAGGTACCCTCCTACAAAATGTCCTGTGGTGCAAATCTCAGGATGTGATCCTAGAAGGGACAATGGATCTGAGACAATGTGACACGAAACAAATTAAACACAGATCCATGCCTTACACCCGGTGTTAGCTTTGCTCCTCCTACGTTCTGAATGATAAAGGAAATGAAATGGACAGTGTATATAAACCAGCTATTCTTGGTGGCTGAGGAAGAGCACATGAGCTATGTTACAGAGCAGATATGGCTCAGAAGAATAGAGGACTTAATATTAATTCATGTTAATATAGCCGGTTGGCTATACCAGTCACTGTGCCAGGCTCTTTCTTTGCACACAACCTGGCCATAGCCCTCAAGATGTCTCCTGGGGGCTCAAATACCAGAGAGCTGGTTATAAAGTGGTATTAACGATGAAACACAATTCCTTCCAAATCTATCCCTGAAGGCAGCCTGTTTTTCTAGGGTTCAGACATCTATTTGATGATGTATGCTCCTCTGTTATCAGTTAATTTAGAGAGAGTACCTATTAAGCAGAAGTGAATTGAACTGTATTGACACACTTGCTTCCATATCTCTTGGGTCTGATAAATTCAGTAATACATATTTTTTTCCCCACTATTAACCATGGTTTTGTTGTGTCTTATAGCAATAGAAATACTATTAGCTCCTAATGTCCCCAAAGCACAGCACTTGGATGAAAACGCATTTGATTTCAACAACTGGAAAGGATACTCCCTTCATGATGAATAATTTCAGGAATATTTCTGAGGTCCAATTGAAGAATGAAGGCAAGACTGGACTGTGTAAATGGAGCAAAGGATTTGGTGTATGTCAATCGACTTTCCATAAAAGCCGTGAGTGAGCTCACTGAATTCTGTTCACAGATTGTAAAAATAAGCTGTCATTTAGGTTGGGAATTCACACACCAATACAGAATTCTCTGTTCTAAATAAGAGTAGGTAAGTCAGAAAGTTCATGGAAAGGTTCGTATTACCATTTAGTTCTGTTTTTTCATGAACATTGTGAAGTACCCTTTTATTGACTGCAGAGAGATCTTTCCTTCCTTTTCAATGGAAGCTGATGAATGTCATTTATTAACTAACCTATTCAATAAGAAAATAGCTCCTCGTGTGCTTTCAGAAGTAATTACCTCTGAAACCAGCTTCTGGTCAAGATGGTGGAATAGATGGTCCCTTGAGTCACTCTCTTCCACAAATTAACCAATTTACAACTATTAAAAAGCAACAACAGCCAAGCTGGGGCCACTAGAGCTCAGGGGAAGAGGAGGAAAGACCTATGGAGTGCATGAAGGTGGGAGAAGCCATGATGACCATTCGAATCACAGCCGCTTCCAGGCTGGAGCTGCTGAGCGCAAGGAGAAGGAGCTGCCAAAAGTCACAGCTATGCCCTTCAGATGGAGTTGCTTGGAGGCAGCAGGGGAGAAGAGGGCCTTGGTGGTCCCCAGGCCAGCAAGACTACTAATAGGGTTCCCATGGACCAATATAGAAGCAAGCAGCCACAACAACTGAAAAAAAGGAGCCAGTCAGAGGCTGGGAGTCATTGCAAGGGACGGGAGCACAGCCCGTCCCATGGGAAGTGTTTGGAGTATGGGTGGTGGGGGAGACGGCCCCCTGTGGGAACACTAGGGCACAAAAAGTACAGCTGATCTGCCCCTCAATCAGTGCAGGACCACTCAGAGGAGACTGGTCAGGAATATAGAACTGCATGGGGTACAGTTTGATGAAAAGACTCAGACCCAGCCAGAGTTTCTACACAACCCAGGTGCACCATATCTCATGAGACCCAGAAATACCTATAAAGTCAACCATTAAAACCTGAGCTGCACAAAAAGCCTTCCCCAGGGAATCAGCAGCAAAGCAGCAATTTAGCTCAACCACAGACCTCAAATACTGGTCCCCACAGGAAGTTCCCCCATTTTAGAAGTAACTCAAAGACAACAAATTAGTTCCAGTGCAGAGTTTAAGTGCTGGGAATAGCAAATAATCCAACACAGAAGTAAAAGAAAAAGCAAAATATTCACAGATCAGAGACAAAGTATGATAATAACTACTAAAGGCCTCACATCACCAAATAAAACCTATAAAATCTAGGACATGAAGCCAGGGAGGGGAGAGGGCTGGGGGACTTAGCCATACCCCCTGACACCTACAACCAGTCCTGAGGGTAGGGGGCCAAGGGCCTCAACCATGTCCCACTGACACCCACAATCAGCCAAGCAATGACCACTGAGCTGCTGCAGGAAGCACCCTGGGGCCATGGTGGGGTGAGGGCTTTAGCTACACCCTTCTGACATCTGTACCCAGCCCAGCAGTGACTAAGCCACCATTGGAAGCCAGGAACCTAAGCACATGCTGGCAGCTTATGGGAGGCCTGCTGGTGACTGAAGAATGTGGCTGATCTGACAATGAACACCTCTGTGCGTGAGGGACTTACTATCATATTCCTGTAACAGCTCCACTGCTGTCAAGAGAACAGCTCTGTGTTCTGGGTCCCTGATATTCAACTCATCCAGGTCTTCCTCCTCCAGAAGCTTGAAGGTGTCTAAATCTTCATAGCCATTGAAGAGGAAAGTGGGCATGTGCTCCTGTGAGAGAGAGAAAGAAGACAGAAGGAAGTCAGCTAGCCCAGCCATATGATACAAGACTGAAAACTATCCTCAAAACCCTAAACTCACTTCCCATAGTCACTTTCATGCTAATCAAAACATTAGTTAGTATCATTCATAAGATATCCTGTACCTCCCCATCCTACAGCTTAGTAGGTAGGCAGGGCATCTTATTAATCATGGGTTAGGAAGATGTCCATTGTAGGCTGGGAAGGGTCCCACTGGTTCGCATTATAATTGTGCCCTTGGTGTGAGCTAATTCCTTTAATGCCAGATGGCCCACATTGGAGGAGACTCCTCCTTTATTTGCAGAGCTTTGAAATGCAACTTAGAGAGCCCCATGAATTCCAGGAGCAAGAGGGTTTTGCAAGAAGGCAACAGAATGCACTGTTGGGGAGCCACCTGTTGGATACTGGGGATGACGGTGGGAGAGGGGGTTGGGGAGCCTACTCCTGGCCCTGGTGGAGCTGGCTGCAAGCAGGGCTCCAGGGCTTTGGCTCACGATCATTCCAGCAGCTAATGCTGACCCCGAGCTTATGCTGTCAACCACAGCAGAGGTCAGACGCAGCATTAGAATGCTGGTAACTATTTCTATAGCATAAAGGCCCATCATAGTAATGGGCCGCCCTTGTTGGACAATGGAGGTCAACACCTACCATACCCTAAATGTCCCTCACTTTCTTAGTTTAGGATGAGGAGAAGGAAAATAATGTGTTGGATTGAATTATGTTTCCCCAAAACTCACTGAAGCTTGAATTGTGCCCCCAGGCTTTATGTATCAGAAACTTGGCTCCATGGTGACTGTTAAGAGGGTGGGAGATCCCCTTCTAGTAACTGAAGGGTGGAGCCTTAAAGAGGTGATTGGATTGTGGGACCGTGATGTGATGAATGGATTAAAAATGGTGATCAGAGGCGTGGTTCTGAGGGCTTTAAAAGAAGAGAGAGTAGAGTCCCTCTCTTCTTTCCGAAGAAAGCCTTCATCAGATGTGTTCCCTGGACTTTGGGCTTCCCAGCCTCTGCAACTGTAAGCAATAAATTTTAACTTCTTTGTAAATCACCCAGTTTTAGGTATTTTGTTATAAGCAACAATGGACTAAAACAAATAGGAAGCGACTGACTTTCAGGTTGATCCGGTCCAGGAGGTCTTCCACGGACTTGGGTTGGGGTGGTCTTCCTTTCCTCCTCCTCCTGGTGGGCCGCTTGGGCTTCTCCTCCTCTTCATTCAGCACATCCACGTAAATGAATTTGAAGGTGCCCACTTTGTTGTTCAACAGGCCCATCCAGGTGCCCATGGGTGGTTTGCTGATGATGTCAATGATATCTCCTTTCTGTGGCCCAAGGAACAAAGATCTTCCCATTAGGTACATTTCTAAGCACCAATCATGAATCAGATGCATGAGTCACAGAGATGTGAAAACACTACGAAGGCCAGAATCAGGGGCCCACAGGTCACCTTTCTGAGCAATTAATGTGGGCTCTGCCTGGGAGTTTGGCAGAGGCCAGCCAGAGCACTTCTGACTGCTGGATCCCATGCAGGCCCCAGGTCTCAGCCCCTCCCCCTCCTGCCCCACAGGACCAGGTGTGTACAGATGTCTCCAGGGCTCTCAGCCAGGCTGCTCTCCCAGCTCTCTGAACATCCTCCCATCATCTGGATGGCTCCTACTTCTTGGAAAAAGAATTTCCCACCAGTCACATGCCAGTGGCAATCCCTGTCCTGTAATCGCTTCATACATTTTGCAGTACTCCATCTGTCCCACATAAATATATCTGTTCACGCACAGAAGGTAGTCATCTCTCTTCACATGGAGAAAGCACAGAAGCTGGGGGTTGGGAAGCAATAGGAATTCCAGAAGGGAGCTAAGGTCAGAGGACAGGGCCAGAAGATGAAATGGTGTCAAGAGGGATTGACACAAGACCCTCCTCTCCTTGACCACTGGCTGGTTCTCGGTTTTGCTTTTTGCTATGGAGTAAGCTGGTGGATTAAGGCAGCTGAGATACTGTCAGGTCTGCACCATAATAGTCCAGCATTCCACAGAAAGGAAGAAAGAAAGCCTCTTAATTGAACAAAAGAGCCTGGGTTAACTGCTCTGAGGCCAGGGAGGGACATACCTTGAGCTTGAGCGAGTCTGTGTCGTAGGGGCTGGGGGTGAAGTCCGTGTGCACCCTGGCGCGCCCACAGAACGGGCCCCGGTAGGGCGGCTCTTCATCATCACCATCTTCCGACTTGACACTTTCCCTGTTGCTGGTTGAGGAATCGGTGGTACTTACCGTCTGACCACCTGTACAGGAGAGACGGGAAGAATGAGAGTAAATACAGATTTCCTGCACAGCAAAGCTGAAAGGTACTGAAGGGATTGCAGATTTGGAAACAAAGGCCCAGAGAAGGGAAGCCATGAGCCACAACCATGTGTCAGGTCCAGAACAGGCCCAGTTATAAGTTCTCTGACTGTCGTCCCTAATCGAGCCCCCAAATGGACAGGGGACTCACAGCAAGTTCTCCTTATGACCTGGGGATCCACGTGACTTGGAGACTCCCCGATGGAGGGCCTGCGGTGCTAGGCACTAGACTCTGCCCTTACCAATCATTCAGATCTCTCATTTGTATCGGTTTTACCCCACGTTACAGATGAGGAAACAAACTTAGAGAGGTCAAGCAACTTGCCCAAGGGGAAGGACTTAGAGTAGTAGATTTAAACTTGATCTCTTCCCCTGTACCATTTGGCTAACAGCAACCACCACCATCCCCAGGGTGGTGGAACAGTATTTGTCATCAGTGACACTTATTCCCCTCCCTCCCCCAAGCCCCTTATCCTGGTTGTGCTTTTCCTCTTGGCTTACTCTCTCCCATTCTCTAGATCCTTCCTGTCAGATGCTTCCCTTTATCTTTTCCAATCAAAACTAATCACCCCCTCTTTTGTGCCACTGCTATATGTCTACTACTAAACAAATACGACTCTAAATCTAGATATTTTGCAGCTCTGACTCTCTAATAGCACCCTAAGGGTAGCAACTTGATCTTACTTATCTCTAATTGCCTGAAACTGGCACTCAATAAATGTCTGTTTTTTAACCCCAACCATCCATAATTACTAAGTAGACTTACTCATCGAGCTCTGCCCACTCAGAGAACTCCGAAGACTTTCCACAGAACCTCCGGCTTTGAGCTTGGGTTTGTCCACGTGTTCCACGTCAGGCTGGGAAGGTGGAGGGGAGCCTGGCATTCCATCAAGTCCTGAGTCCTGAAATGGGTTTCAACAAAATTAAATTTCACCAGAGTGGACAGGCGCTGTTTTAATACTCAGCAATGTGGTCCTCAGCGAAATCAATCAAGTCGACCTTGATACCCATATTTGATTCTATACACAATATTCCCCTCCTTTTTAGCCTATATCCCTGCTTAATTTTAAAGTTGTGGCACAGGTTACTATGTATTAAGCATTCAAAAATTATTTTTCATGCTCAAATAGATATTCTCAAAATGTCTGAGAAAAATCTGTCTACCACATAGACAAAATATTTAGTTAAAGGGTTAAAGTCTCTTAGCATACTCAAGAGACCAGTACCAAGGCCGGACTTCAAATGTTGATCAAGTACAATCCACTATTAATGTCATCTCTGGAACTACCATTATAGGATATTCAATCTACTTTGAAGGGAAACATTTACACTAAAAAAAAGTATACGTCTTGAAAAAATTTGGCCAGATTCTTGTTTCTACTTACATAAATTATTGAAATTGACTTAAATGATACCATCTTAAGACCCAGATACACAGCAAAAATACTGAGTTTCAGTCTATAATAAAATTTCCATTTGTAACCTCATGGTTTTAGCGTCTTTCACGACTTTTAAGAGTTGTCAGTAAAAAGGTGAGAAGTCTCTTTCAGATCAGAATGCTGACAGTCGTGACTTTTCACTTTTTTGGGTGGCTAAGTGTCAACTCAGCAGCTCCTCACTTGCACATACAAGGACAGCATGCTTATTTGAGTGGCAGTGCTATACAGAAAATATTACACTTCAAAAAGTTTGCAGTAAGAATTGTTTACTTGCCAAAATAGTCAAGTCTCTGGCATATTACATAGCCACATGAGCACAAAACCACCTCAGCGAAACCTGTTATTTGCCAAATCATCAGAAGGGCTTTAAGGCGGGTCTGTAGGCCCTGCAAACATTTAAGGACAGCAACAGCAGCTTCTAATTCAAAACACACTCATGCTTTACATTTAAGGAAGGTGAGCAGACAACCTCAAAGCAGCAACTATAAACAGAGTTGCCACTAGTGGAAGCTAGTGAAGCCGTGAAATATGAATTCCTGGATAAATTTTCATTCCTCTTTTCTGAATCACAAAATAAGTGATCTTTCCATATAAAACCTTTTCTGATGCTTCAGAAAAAAGCAGACATTTTGAAAATAAGCAATATTAAATATACACCTGATATTATATGTTTTAAAATGCCTATAAAGATTCCTAACTTATTCGTCACGTATTTATTGATTACCTACAAGAACAAATACTATTCCAGGTGCTGAGCATATAGCAGGAGGAGAGAAGACAAAAATCCCTACCATGATGGTTGGTATATTTACAAAAAAGTTTTTAAAAACCTACACAAAACCTCACATTAATTTCCTCTTTCTAGAAAGCATTACAATGATCAATTGTTCCTTAGTTTCCCTTAACTTATGTGAAATAATTGTTCTCTTTAAAAAAAAACAGAGAACTAAGTATACAAAGACTGCTATATGGTAGTAAAGTTATAGAAAAATGCTCAAAATGACATTCAGATTTTATGCTCATGATCCATAAAACAGAAACCCTCTAGAAACATAAGCTCACAATGGCTTTTAGTGGATGTTTCAATTTTGGGGAAAAGCAAACTTAATAAAGTGCTTTGAATTAGTGGCATTGCTTTCATGGGCATGCAGCCCGTTCACAGGAGTGTGCACAGTTTGCCTCATTGCTGGACAGAAATACAAAATCACCATCACTCCCTCACCCATAGGCACAAGAAAATGGAAAGAATAAGGAAAAAAAAATCATGAAGATGACAGACTGAAGGCAGCCCAGGTCGCCTGTAGGTCTAATAAGCCAGGGTTTCTCAGCCTGAGCACTACAGGCCTTTTGAATAGACAGTTCTTTGCTGTGGGGCCATCCTGTGCATGGTAGGATGTTTAGAGCATCTCTGGCCTCTACCCACTCGATGCCAGCAGCAGCTACCCCACTCCACTACCCCAACCCGGCGTGGCTATCAAACATATGCCAGACACTGCCCAGGGGTTGGTGGGGAAGCAAAATCACACTCTCGCCCCTCCCCCCCGTGAGAACCACCGTAATAAACTGAAGAGGTTGTGCAGGTTTGTATGAATCAAAGTGCGGGTGGCTAGCTAGCTGGTGGCATTGAGTGATTCCAACAGGGGATGCTTGGTTTTTAGCTCACTATGCCCACCAGAGGGCAGCAGCTGAGCAAAAATGTCTGCTTTCCCTGCAGTTTTTATTTGGAGGAGAAAGTGGCACTGCCTACATATTTCACACAGACAAGCAGCTCGTACACAGGCAGTTCAACGGCTACAAAATCAGTACTACAAAGGTGTCAGAGGAGAGCGTTGTGAAAGTCTAATGGTCAAGATTACCTCAAGGCCCAGCTCTTCAAGTGTTTTTATTCCCTCTACCCATGCAATTAAGACAGAAGCCGGTCATGTTTCTAGTGACAAAATAATAGAATTGGGGGGAGAATCAATTCTGTGATATCTTCGTGGCTACAGATAGGGCCAGTTAGTGAAAACACCCCCTGAGGAAACATGGTTCCTATGGAAGTCCAGTAGCCAGGGGCACTTTCTGAGTTTTTATCTCAGACTTGCTATGTGCTTCTAGAACTGACACTACATTTAAGTCTGCTGGCCAAGAAAACTTTTTTAGATTTGATTCTGGTAACATCCATCTTAGAAAATATATTTTAGACAATAAAATTGTTCCTTTATATTCAAATTTATAGTGCTTTTGGCACTGAAGAGTAATCATTTTTTTTACATGCCTGTCTCTCCTCTTGTCTGTATGTAAAAGGCAGGGCCTGTGTTTTATTTTTCCCAGAACCAAGCACAATGCCTGAATAACTCAAATGTTTGTTGAACTGAATGTCTGTCTACACAATCATAGTCCTGGAGCGGGTTAATGCTAAGGAATATATGTATTTAGCACCATTTAAAATGTCAGGTGGATCAACCTCAGCTTCCCTGTTGTCAGGAGAAACCAAGAAGTTTTTCTTCTAGGTGGCTACACACCTGCTCAGAGACAGAGCTGCTGTATTTTTTAGACATTCTCTTCCTCATTGTCTCTTTCACTGATTTCACCTTTTTTCCAAGAGAGATGCGGGAGGCAGTGGGTGATTTGATTACTTCTTTGTACACAAAATCTCCTTCTTTACCCTGCAAAATGAAACACTGTAAGTACCTTTAGTCACAGAACATGAATTCCCAAAACAGATTTTATTAACCAAATCATTAATGTCCTAGCTCTCAGAAAAATATTAGCATTCCCCAGGAGCTTGAAGTTTTTCCTGTGTTTACTCACTGCTCTGTCATGTATCTTTTTGTTTAAAAATTAAACCCTAAGGGGCTTTTTGTTTGTTTAAAATGGGATGTGAATCACTTTTTATTTTATTTAATCTTAGTACATTCTCCTCTGATTATATTTTTCCACCACTTCAAACACCCAAGCGGACTGCATTACATCGAAAAAGAGTAATTTACATGAACCAATGCTCAATAATCCCAGCAGTGGAGCAGAAAGAGGGACAATACTACTGAATCGCCCTAGGAAAGTGGTAAGATCACAATGGTAAAAGCTCGGTCATTAGAAGTACAACATCTGATTGGATTTATAGCACTGCAGTGCTTAGTGTGGTCAACTCCTAAGAGTGTGTAAATTTCCTTCTCTGAATAAGCTAGACTGTGGTCATCCCTCATTATATTTTACATTTTTTAAAAAAACTTTCCCCTAGGAAAGGAAGAAAAAAAAAATCATATTTTCATTTCTTAAAATACTGACTACATGAAATTATTGGTTAAAGAATCAATAAAATTTGATATCAAAGTAAAATAGTTTAATTATTCCAGAAATGTCTCACACACTTCATACCACAGATGGATATTTTAGCTGACCCATGATCATAACAAATATCAAGCTCAAAATCTTCATTTTACAGTTTCATGATCAAATGCATAAGGGAAAAGCAAAATTATATGTAAAATTCATTTATACCCTTGAGGCCTGAGAGAGTAAACTTCAGGGAACAGAACTTATGTACCACAGTGGTGGCCTGTCCCTAGACTGTGACCCAGAAGCAGGTCTGAGGAGGCAGTAACCTTGGCCCTGAGGGGTCTGGTTGGCTTTGGTCCCAAAGAGACTCGGTTCCTTCCAGGATGCCTCGGACTGCAAAGACCTAGGCTTATTATAGTCTTTGGAGGGCCATGTACTAAGCCCATGGTTTGTAGAAGTGCTAGCATATATTCGTACCCAAATCACAAGGCTCTGTCCTGTCACACTATGTGTCTATAGTAGTCATGTGCTTGCAACCAGTGTGAAGAAAAGCCTGTGTGCCTAACTAAGACTGTAGAAGCCAAACTCATCTGGATTTGTTACATAACAGATGCTGGAAGCAAGGGCATTAAAGGAACTGTGCTATTGCAAGGAGGTGGACGGAGGCCAGAGTTGGTCGGCATTCATTCCATGTGGAACAGCGGAGTCTTTAAGATGGGAGAAATAGGGCTTCTTTCCAAATATGACTTAAGATCACCAAGGAGAAGGTTACCCAATATCAATTCTCACAGGCACTAAATGCGAAACTATCATCAACCGTATGGCTTGAATCCAAACCTTCTGCTTTCCTTTAACCTCTACTCACCATCGGGTCAGAATTATTACTGCTAGTGTGCAGGGAACGATTTGTCAAGTCAAATCCTCCAAAACTGCAGGTTCTCTGTGGAAAGACAGGGTAGAGCAGGAATAATCCTGTTATGCTTAAAACAGCCAGCAGTGCCCCAACCCAACACACTTCCATTTGCAGGACATCTCTGAATCACAAGTATGCGTACGAGATGAAAGGAGGAAACAAGACATGGTGAAGAGAAAACACATGATTCATGTCACAAGGAAACTTCGCTCATTCTGCCCTTTCACAGACCACTGGAACTTTGCCTACACCAGAATCTAGAATCCCCTTAGCATGCAAAAAGCAACTGTTAAAAACCAAACAACAAAAAAAAAACCCTCTAGGAGTTTAGTGCTGTAAGAGTCCCTGTCTCTTAGCACAGAACTTCCCCTTCAATTTCCCTTAATCTCAGCTACATTCAATAGTGATAAAGATGGAATTTGTATTAGAGGATCCATGCGCTTGGTGGTCTTGGAAACCCAGGTCTGAAATCTTAAGGCTCTGCCCTGACAGCGGACTCTTCTAACAGACTTTTGTTTGGTTTGGTTGTAAATTGCTGAGAAGGGGGAAAAAGGTTATGTTTATGGTAGTACAATCAGGCCAAGAGGATTACTCACTCAGTGCTTCCCTGCGCTAGCCAAAAATGCTGATAACTTTCCCATCGAACCGCCCAGCATAATTAATTATGACCCTTTTTCTCACAGTCGATGAAGTGAAGACACCACATTTGTCCAGAAAGAGGTTGATTCAGTGACTGTCTTTGACCACACTCTTTAATTTCAACAGGAAAAATGCTGATATTATAAAGAATGAAAACTTTACTGTACTTGTAGCTGGTTTCAAACTTTACGGAATTGCTTATATTTCAGTGCTTTTTGTATTTCAAGACCTGGGTTCAAATTCACTGTTGTTTTTCTATCAAAAGCCACTCTGGCCACCCCCACCCCCCACTAATTTTTGTTAGAACTAAGTATCTTTTTAATGAATGGTAATAGAAATTTAATGGTAGATTTGGGCTCCAATATTTTGCATTACCTGTTTCCTCAGAGAATTCTAGTTAACAGCTATTAAATGGAAGAAATGGGTATAAAAGTACAATGTATATTATAAACATTGCTTATTTAAAATAAATATGCTTTAGATATATATTAATTAACTGAATTGAGATAATAGAAACATCCTGGAAGGAAAATGCCTAGGTTTTTAGAACCACACTGATGTAGATTCAAATCCTGTTTCTGCCACTTGCTGTGTGACCACAGGTAAAGTACTTCAACTCTTTTAGCTTTGGATTCTTCATTAGTAAAATCATGTCTACATCACCTATTTGAAGACTTCTAGCACACCTCTTGGCACTCTATGAATAGCAGACACTCTATGAATATTGGTTTCTTCCATTACTTTTCATTAAGGCTATATTGAGAATTTGGTAGCTCAACCCACAATTGTTATATTGAAATTTAGGCTTTTGTCAACATTAAAAATATGCAGATAAAGGGCTGGAGCTCTATCCTGGACCTTATAATCTGGGAGTTCAATGTTGAGACCAGAGAATCCCAGAAAAGAGCCACCAAGTAAAAGATGGCAGTTGTGGCACAAGGGAGGGCCAGGAGCTAAGTTAGGATGCATTTCAGGATAACCAACATTCAGGATGTCACAGAACTGTTGTACTTCAAGGCTGTTGCTGCTGTCTTAAATAATCTACTACCAACACGTTCTCCAGTGGATATGATCCTAATTTTACATTAAACATCAATGGGTAATCTGATTTCTTTTACAGCCAATTTAACACCACACACACACACACACACACACACACACACACACACACACACACACTCTCTCTCTCTCTCTCTCTCTCTCTCTCTCCCTCCCTCCCTCTCTCTCTCTCTCTCTCTCTCTCTCTAAAAAGAGAAAGACCTCTCTACACAAAAACACTAACTGGGCAAACCACCCAACTGGGCAAGCAATGTTATAACCATCTGTCAAGGCTACTTTTTAACATTAACTTTCCCTTTCCAACTTATAATACCCAATAAGTTTTCTCATTTTTGCAAAGGCAGTGATTTGTTCTAGTTCCTTTCCTGTGACTCAGGGCTTCACAGACACAGTATGGCACCCAGATGCCTGATCACTTTATGGCTTTTGCATGTCCTTGCTTTAAACTTAAAGCATCTACTGCAACACTGGCGCCGAACACATTATTTCTGATACATATGAAATAACTGACAAAGAATTTATATGGAAACTATTACTGTGATAAATTAGAAGCTCACTTAAGTTTTCACATGCCTGTTGTATGCATTTATTCCTAAAATAAAAACTTAAAGGAAAAAATGGACTGGTTTTCTTAACTAAGTACCAACTAAAACTTCTCCCAGTGATATGCTAAGATATCTAGACCAGATTCATTTTTATCAGTGGATGATTGACAAAGAATTTAACAATAAACATTGCTTAAATTAATCTCTGATTTTTTTCTGTAAGATGCAGTTCTCAAAGCAGCACTCCTTCAAAAGAGAAAATGGATTGTGAAGAGAATAGTAAAAGAAAAACGAACCAATCTTTTATTTTGGTGATCTAAATAAATGAAGCCTAAATGAAGGTTTTTTTTAGTTCATACATCTCCTGTACAGCAATTATAAAGACATTTTATATAAATGCTTCAGATGAAGAGAGCTAATCAATGGAATGGCCATGCAGTTGGAAACATGTTTGGGGGAGGGGGGGGTTGAATTTTAAAATGGACAAAATTCCAAAATGTCATGCATGTCTGTTCTCCCAAAGAAAAATTGAATGACCAAATAAAATTCAAGACAAGTGAGTATTTCCAGTGAATACAAAGCATTATCATTTCCCTGAGGCTTCATCAAGCAAATATGGCATTTCTGAAAGACAAAAAGATCAAGGTTGAAGATTAAAGGAAACTCTGTCCTTTTGGATAAAATGAAGAAAATGTATGACAAGAAGAATGGAAAAGAATTTTTTAAGTAAACCAAGCAAAGAAATGAGATTAATCCCTTAAAATAAAATAAAAAAGAAAAAGAAGCTCTTTTTATTGTTAAAACACTTATTCTCCCTTACATTCTCTGGGTAATTGGAAAATTTAATTTTGTTTTCCTGATTATACAATTGTACTTACAGAAAAAGTTACATGCAAAATTTTAATTTTGCATCAAACCCATATTTCAGCAAGTACTAAAACTGTCCAGTACTGCCTCAAGTTCACAGTGTCTTAAAAATGCCCAGTCTCAGACTGACACTTGGGATAGAGATTACACAGCATCACCTGGAAGGGGGCTGGGGGTAGTGCTTGGAAACAAACTTGCCCAGATGTCCACATTCAATGTCAGTGATGAATTAATCACTACCCCACAATGTTAATTAGCACAAATCTCAGAAATACAACTTCTAGAGATAAAGTACTGATGAAGTTTTGTAATTAATCTCACAAAAATTAACATAAGAGGTACATGAGCAATGGCAGTTGCTCAGATTGGATAAATTCTCAGTATTACATGACATAAACTCACAGAGGTGAGTCTTCAACTAACAGAGAGCAAGTGGATCTGTTCTATCAAAGTCATCCATACAAAGGCAGATTCAACTGGGCAGAATACTTCTGAAAGCAAAAAAATAATAATAAATTATACCGAGACTGGTATTTTACAAAAGATCTGTGGGTCAGAGCAAACCAGAAGCTGTGTGAGTCAGAAAGAGAATTCTGCTATTTTAAAACAAAAAAAAACCCCAATAAAAAACTGTTACCATGATATAGAAAGAACCAGGAGAAAAGTTTTTGCTACATATTAACAGTATTAAAAGCATTAAATGAATGAGAAAAGATAGAAAATAAGATCTAGAAAGAAGAGTGTACACGTGGGAATTTTTGGAAAATCTAAGGGATAGGGAGGACCTAACAATCCTTCCAGAAAAGAGAAGGTCATTTTAAGGATGGTGTTGACCCATCAGTCTTCATTTTCGCAAAGGCAGAACTCGATTGAATGAATTTAAATGACAGTAATTGTCTGGGGAAGAACATCCTATTCATGAATGTGAAGGAACTCTGGGAAAAGCCACTATGGAAGCATACTCTATTCTTTCAGACTTTTAAAAAATAAGGGCAGCCAGCACTTCCAAGTGGGTTACACAAGGAGCCAGAGGACAGGAGGGCCAGGGCCTCCACGCCCCTCCCCCACCCCACTCTGTACCATTTAATATGGGCTATTCTGCAAGCTGAAAGTTATTTGGAAATTTCAAAGAGGAAAAATTTCTATATTCTGAAGTTCAAAATAAGTCATGCCCTGAAAATCAATTTTACTGGGTCTCTGATCAGTCAGTGTTAAAACTGAAAAACATTTTATTATTTGAAAGTAGTACTTTATTCCTTTGCTATGTAGAGCAGAATTTATGTGGCAGTGGAGGACATTTCCAAATGCCAATTTTTTTGTTTGAAAAGATAAGAACATTGAATAGACTTAAGGAAAACAAGACAGCTCTAACTTTTTTCCCTGTTTGATTTAAGAACTTTCTGCTCGGCCCTCCTAATAAAATAAAAACGTACTTTACAATGTTTTTGAATCACTGAATTGGTGACTGTGATGAGGGCAAACTTTCCATGAGCTAGATCCTATTGTTTTAATTATCTGCAAGAGTAAGCATCTCTTGTGAGGGTGAAATGTCCTTGTGTTTTGATTCGGCTTCTTTGAGGTCAAGTGACATGACGGCTGGGATTCAGGACAACCACTCTAAGAAGGCGGCCAAACCCCACCCCTGTCCCCTGTAAGCCCCTCCCTGGATTTTCACTTTTAATTAAAACTCGAACAGCCTCGACTGACAAGAGGACAAATGGAGAAAGGAGGAGACAGCTGGAGTACAGGACAGCAGGATCAGAAAGTGGAGGTGACGGTGGAATGGACCCCGAGGTTCTGAGTGGAAGAGCGGGAGGAAGCCGGGCTCCCCAGAAGACAGGCCATAATGCTTGACTGCACATCACAGAAATGACAAGGCCGTGCCCATGACCGTCTTTGTGACTCACAGACTTCTGGTGGATTCTCAAGAGAACCCTCTTAGTGCAGCGGTCGACTGTGGCCGCCCACTTTCTCTTTGCCTCCTCCTCCTCCTCCAGCAGGCACCGCCTCAGGTCCTGTTTCTCAGCCTTGCTCAGGGTCCTGTCTGAGGCAGGACGCACGAGCTGGCTCAGGTTCAGGTGGCTGTAGAGACTCCGCTCCACCACGTAGGTGACATTGAACTCGCTGACCGCGGGGCGCCCGCGCGCCCTCCTGCCGGGGAAGCCGCAGCTCCCGCCCCCTTTGCATTTCTGCCGCAGCAGCTGCAGGTCACAGGGGGTGCTGTGCACTCCTTTCCTGGAGGGACGCTGGCAGAGAAAAGCTCTGGAACAGGAATAATTAGTATCTGTTTTCTTCAAGCGGATCTGCTTCCGGACACTCTGAACCTCCTCCAGGGACACCAGAAGGTGGTGCCTGCGACGGTGGTGGTCATAGAAGCAAACACCATCTGTACTTACCCCGTGGCTCAGGGACCCGAGACCCTTCCTCATCTCCCCCTCAGTGAGGGAGCGGGACACTTTCTGGGCCTTTTCTTCTTCTGGATAGGAGAAGAACGTCCCTATCTTCTTGGCGGGCTTAATCAGGCCCCGACTTTCTCCTTTGCTGAAGGTTTTGACCAGCTTCCGGCCAGCTCCCCAGGTGTCCAGGCTGCTAGATGATGGAGATGTGGAGTCTGAGTCATCGGGAGGTTTCTCAGGAGAG